AGTAAGCCAAGTCCTTCGTCGAATAAGGCAAGCCCTTCGTCGATTAAGTCCTTCGTCGATTTAGGCAAATGGGTCAAATGGGTTTGGTGCGAGGGTGGGGTGGGGAGCCTCCCCGGGGTTCCAACAAAACTCTTCTGGGGTCTAATGTTAAGGGTTCAGGAATCTCAATTTCTGTAATTTTCTTCATTTTTCTTGGTTTTTTATTGTTTTTGTTTCGTTTGGGTGCCTGGGGGAGCTTCTGGGGGCCTCCTTGAGCTTCTGGGAGCCTCCCGGGGTCCAAAAAACTCTTCTGGATTGTATGTTAAGGAAGGGTTCAGGAATCTCAATTTCTGTGATTTTCTTCATTTTTCCTTGAGCTTCTGGGAGCCTCCCGGGGTCCAAAAAAACTCTTCTGGGGTCTAATGTTAAGGGTTCAGGAATCTCAATTTCTGTGATTTTATTCATTCTTCTTGGTTGTTTATTGTTTTTGTTTCGTTTGGGTGCCGGGGGAGCTTCTGGGGGCCTCCTTGAGCTTCTGGGAGCCTCCCCGGGGTCCAAAAAACTCTTCTGACGTCTAATGTTAAGGGTTCAGGAATCTCAATTTCTGTAATTTTCTTCATTTTTCTTGGTTTTTTATTGTTTTTGTTTCGTTTGGGTGCCTGGGGGAGCTTCTGGGGGCCTCCTTGAGCTTCTGGGAGCCTCCCCGGGGTCCAAAAAACTCTTCTGACGTCTAATGTTAAGGGCTCAGGAATCTCAATTTCTGTAATTTTCTTCATTTTTCTTGGTTTTTTATTGTTTTTGTTTCGTTTGGGTGCCTGGGGGAGTTTCTGGGGGCCTCCTTGAGCTTCTGGGAGCCTCCCGGGGTCCAAAAAACTCTTCTGGATTGTATGTTAAGGGGTCAGGAATCTCAATTTCTGTCATTTTCTTCATTTTTCCTTGAGCTTCTGGGAGCCTCCCGGGGTCCAAAAAAACTCTTCTGGGGTCTAATGTTAAGGGTTCAGGAATCTCAATTTCTGTGATTTTCTTCATTCTTCTTGGTTGTTTATTGTTTTTGTTTCGTTTGGGTGCCGGGGGAGCTTCTGGGGGCCTCCTTGAGCTTCTGGGAGCCTCCCCGGGGTCCAAAAAACTCTTCTGGGGTCTAATGTTAAGGGTTCAGGAATCTGAAATTTTCCGCCGACCCCAGCTGGAGAGCAGGGGAGGCGCTAGTGAAGACCCATAGTCTTGCCGCTCTCTCCGCCACTCCGCCCGCTCCGCCCGTTCCATCGCATGGCCCCCATGCCTCCATGCCCTCGACCCCGGCTCCAGCTCATGGCCCCAGGATCCCACATGGCTGCCACCACCCACACCTCATGGATGTTTTGGCATTCTTTTAGGGGGTTCAGCTTATGGCCCCATGTCTCACATGGCTGCCACCACCCACACACCCTCCCCCTCCATGCACCCTTCCCATGGCCCCGTGGCCCCATGCCCCTATCAGATGACTTGAAAGGGCCCCAATCCATGCCCGCCCGCTCTGCCCTGCCCGCTCTCCCCACCCCATCCCTCCATGCACCCTTCCCGTGCCCGCTCTCCCCGCCCCCTCCGCGCGTTCCATCGCATGGCCCCCATGCCCTCGACCCCCTGGCACCCATGGCTCATGGCCTCATGGATGTTTTGGGGGCTCCAGCTCATGGCCCCATGTCTCACATGGCTGCCACCACCCACACACCCTCACCTTGCCCATGGCCCCGTGGCCCCATGCCCCTATCAGATGACTTTAAAGGACCCCAGTGCATGCCCGCCCGCTCCGCCCTCCCCGCACTCACCCCCCCCCCCCCCATGTCCATCGCATGCCCCCCATGCCCTTGACCCCCTGGCACCCATGGCTCATGGCCCCATGGCCCCCATGCCCTCGACCCCGGCTCCATACCACCACCCACACACCCCTTCTGCCCCGTGGCCCCATGCCCCTCTCAGATAGATGTTTAAAGGGCCCCTAGTGCATGCCCGCCCGCTCCGCCCTCCCCGCACTCACCCCCCCCGCCCCCCCATGCACCCTTCCCATGTCCATCGCACCCATGCCCACCCATGGCTCTCCGCCGCCCTTGCAGAGCGGGGGAGGCGCTAGTGAAGACCAGTCTTGCCGCTCTCTCCGCCACTCCGTTCCATCGCATGGCCCCCATGCCTCCATGCCCTCGACCCCGGCTCCAGCTCATGGCCCCAGGATCCCACACGGCTGCCAACCTCATGGATGTTTTGGCATTCTTTTAGGGGCTCCAGCTTATGGCCCCATGTCTCGCATGGCTGCCACCACCCACACACCCTCCCCCTCCATGCACCCTTCCCATGGCCCCATGGCCCCATGCACTTGAAAGGGCCCCAATCCATGCCCGCCCGCTCTGCCCTGCCCGCTCTCCCCACCCCATCCCTCCATGCACCCTTCCCGTGCCCGCTCTCCCCGCCCCCTCCGCGCGTTCCATCGCATGGCCCCCATGCCCTCGACCTCATGGATGTTTTGGGGGCTCCAGCTCATGGCCCCATGTCTCACATGGCTGCCACCACCCACACACCCTCTTGCCCATGGCCCCGTGGCCCCATGCCCCTATCAGATGACTTTAAAGGGCCCCAGTGCATGCCCGCCCGCTCCGCCCTCCCCGCACTGTCCATCGCATGCCCCCCTGGCACCCATGGCTCATGGCCCCATGGCCCCCATGCCCTCGACCCCGGCTCCATGCCATGGCTGCCACCACCCACACACCCCTTCTTCCCCGTGGCCCCATGCCCCTCTCAGATGGATGACTTTAAAGGGCCCCCAGTCCCGCTCCAGCTCATGGCCCCCTTCCCCACCGCACCACCCCCCACCCCTCCCACACTCCCCACTGCCCTGTCCTCCGCCTGTTGCCTCGCTGCGAATGCTAGCGGGGCCCCGAGCCCACGAACCCAGCATTTACAGCGAGGCAATGACGACCAGTGCCCTGAATATCAAAAAAACCCTGAACTACCGCAACCCCCGGGTTTCGGGTTTACGGTTTACGGTTTAGGGTTTAGTTTCCGGTTTCGGGTTTCGGGTTTGGGGTTTAGGGTTTAGAGTTGGGGGTCGGCGGCACTGGCGGTAGCCATTAAATCCGCCCCCCGCGCCGCCCGTGGTCCAGGGCGGAGCCCGCGTCGCACTAAAGCGCTAGCTTTAAGGGGCGAGCGCCCGAGCCGCCGACCCCGCCCAAAATTGCTTCAAATTCGCGCGGGGCCCTTCGGGAGGCCTCCAAAACGGCATGCAAGGGGACGCAACACGCGGTGGTGCGAAAAGCACGAAAACCTCGTAAAAACCATGGGTTGTTACGAAAAACCGAGGCCACAAAACACCCGCAGCACCCCATTAAACCCTCACGGGCGCGCATCATCGGCCCTAGCTTTTCACATGGGGCGCGCGCCAGGCCGAAACCACGTTTTTCAAGGTTTGGGGGGGGTACCGGAAGCCCAAAACCAGGCGAGCATCATGAGCATCAGCAGCCCTGGCCCGCGGGCCCAAGGCAATAAAAAACGCTGAAAAACGCTGAAATCACCGTAAATACCGTGTTTTTATGAGGTTTTTCACGCGTGCCTCCGACCCCCACCCCTGTTGCCCTTGACCCGCCCCCAAAGTGCGCATCATCGAAACCCACGTCCGGGGGGGGGTCTGCTGATGCTGCTGATGCGCGGGGTCCGGGCGCATCATCGAGCCATCGCTTCTCTTGGGCTTCGTGGGGGGGTCCGGGCCCACGGCCCAGAGACCCAGCTGATGCTCATGATGCTCGGTTTGGGGGGGTGTTCCAACAGCAGAAAACCTCGTAAATACCGAGTGTTTTGTGGGTCCACGTAAAAACGCCCCTAAAATCGCTCATTTTACGCGCTCGAACGGCTTCGTGCCTACAAAACACCCGAACAGCAGGACCCCGAATGCCCTTAAGGGCATTCGGGGTCTTGCTTTTGGGGGTTTCGTGGGCACGCAAGCGTTCAAGCACATACAATCGGCGTGTTTAAGGGGGTTTTGGATGGCCTGGGGGAGGCCGCTGATGCTCATGATGCTCCCTTTCCTGGGTCCCAAAAGGCTTCCCAAGCCCAAAAACACGTGTTTACAGCGTTTTCTGAAGGTTTTTCGAAGGCAAAACGCATGCATAGAATGCTTTTAAGGCCCCCAAACCAACCCCACTGATGCTCCTGATGCGGGTGCGCGCGCGCGCGCGCGGCGCGCGCGCGCGCGCGCGCCGGGGGGGGAGGGGGGGGGAGGGAGGGGGGGCGAAGGCAGGAGAAAGAGAGACAGAGAGAAGGAGAGGACAAAGACACGGGAAAGAGAAGACAGTGCCAAGGTTCAAGGTTTCGTGCTTTGGGGGGCGGGGGCCGGCCCGTGCCGCTAGGCCTGAAATATTCATTTTTTTTGGTTTTTTATTGTTCTTGTTTCGTTTGGGTGCCTGGGGGAGCTTCTGGGGGCCTCCTTGAGCTTCTGGGAGCCTCCCCGGAGTCCCAAAACAGGAATCTCATTTTTTGTTTGGCTTTTCCTTATTGTATTTCTTTTGGGAGTTTTGGAGAGCTTTTGGAACAAATGGGTGCGAAGCGAGGGTTTAAGAAAAGCTGCGTACGATCAAGAATAGAAACTTTATATTTTCGTAATGTTATGGGACCCTCTGGGCAGGTGGGGTTTTGTTTGGTTGCTCGAACCCCGTCAAAACTAGTAATGTCCTGGCCCTGCCAATCGAAAAGCCTAAACCCTAAACCCTAACCCCCCCCCCCCCACCTGCCACCAAAGGGACAGAGGTGTGCGGCCGTACCCGTCGACCACACCCGATGGGTTTTGGGGAAGCTGCAGCATCGATTCAACCTGGCTCCAAAAACTTGAAGAGTTCAGGGTTTAGGGTTGAAAGTTTAGGGTTTAGGGTTTTAGGGTTTAGGGTTCAGGGTCTAGGGTTTAGGGTTTAGGGTCTCAGGTTTCGAGTTAGGGTTTAGGGTGGGATGGCCGGAGCATCTTGCTCTTTGCTGCTTTATTCTTACTCACGCTCTCACCTGCACAATTAAGCTAAAGACACCCGAAGCGCACTGCAAACCTTCGTTTTGCAACGGGGGAGCATCTCAGGTGATCCTTGCATTGTCAGGCCATTGCCCTGGCTTAGGGTATGGCACACGGAGAACACATGCAAGATCATTTGAGCAACACAAGATCGACAGTTGCAAACTGCGCGATGTTCAGGGCGGGACAAAAGTAGGGTGGGCAAGAACAATCGAAAGTGCAGCAAGCTGGCGACGCTTTAGTAGCCAAGCAAGCTAAGTCTATGGGGCGCCCCCACCCACCCGCCTCAGCCGACGCTGCAAAGCATGACAGTGAAGAATACAATTACATGGCGCAGACGCAGGCAAGCAGGACGGTTGCTTTCAACACCACGTCACAACCCGGCTACCTTGCGCCCTTGAGGAGCGGAGCTCGAATAAAGCGTTATCAACAAGTAGACTACAGCGTCTAGACTGAAGTCTTTTGATACACGGTTTGCTCTATGCCGCTGTCTATGTCTCTATCTTGCCTCTCCCCACATTTCAATCCCAAACCCTGTAAAACCTGATTAAGCCCTATAAGCGCTACACCTTCTAAACCCTAAATAAATCCTAAAAACCCAAAACCCTCCAAAACCCACACACAACCCTACAACTCCTCTACACCCTCAAACCCTAAACCCTCAACCCTCAACCCTCAACCCTCAACCCAAAGTCCTAGACCCTAAGCCCTAAATTAACCTTAAACCCTTAAACCCTTAAACCCTTAAACCCTTAAACCCTTAAACCCATAAACCCTTAAACCCTTAAACCCTTAAACCCGTAAACCCTTAAACCCTTAAACCCTTAAACCCTTAAACCCTTAAACCCTTAAACCCTAAACCCTAAACCCTAAACCCTAACCCCCCCCCCCGTTCCCCCGGCCTCGGCCGCGTTGCCTTCCCGGGCGGCGTTCAGGAGCACCCGCGCTGGGGCCTCGGCGACGTCGGCGAAGGGCAGCAGCACCAGCTGAAGGTCCATCTGGGTGCCCAGCTCCTGGGTTGCCGCGTTAAGGAACTGGTAGAGTAGAAACATGTGCATGTATGCATATATATATATATATGCATACATATGTTTTGTGCAGTCTATGTACGCCTATACTATATATATATATATATGTACCCGAAGCCTAAACCCTAAACCCTAAACCCTCATGGACTGTTGTAAAACAAGCTCGCGAAACAGCCCAGGCTCCGCGGCATCCTCCAGGCTCCTGCCGTGCAGAAGGAGCCTCTGCCGGAATCGGGGAGGCAAGCCGGGCACCTCACCTTTCGGGAGGGGGGGGGGAGGGGGGGAGGGGGGTGGAGGGGTTGGGGGTTTAGGGTTTAGGTTTAGGGTTGAGGGTTGAGGGTTGAGGGTTGAGGGTTGAGGGTTTTGAGGGTTGAGGGTTGAGGGTTGAGGGTTGAGGGTTGAGGGTTGAGGGTTGAGGGTTGAGGGTTGAGGGTTGAGGGTTGAGGGTTGAGGGTTGAGGGTTGAGGGTTGAGGGTTTAGGGTTTAGGGTTTAGGGTTTAGGGTTTATGTAGGCTTGAGGGTTTAGGGTTTAGGGATTAGGGCCCCCCTTAATAGAAGGGGAAGCTAAACCCTAGACCCTAGACCCTAGACCCTAGACCCGAAACCCGAAACCCTAAACCCTAAACCCTAAACCCTCAAACGCTCTGTGCATCCTGGTGGCTGAGGCGTTGCTTCAAGGCCAGGACGTCGCTCACGGCCTCCACGGCCACGCTGGCCACCTCTTCGCCGGAGAGGAGTCGGACACGCAGCATGCCGGCAGGCAGGGGCTTCCATGAGTTTTGGGTTTGGGGTTTAGGGTTTAGGGTTTTAAGGTTTAGGGTTTAGGGTTTAGGGGTTAGGGTTTAGGGTTTAGGGTGTAGGGTTTAGGGTTTAGGGTTTAGGGTTTAGGGTTTAGGGTTTAGGGTTTAGGGTTTAGGGTTTAGGGTTTAGGGTTTAGGGTTTAGGGTTTAGGGTTTAGGGTTCAGGTTTAGGGTTTAGGGTTTTAAGGTTTGGGGTTTAGGGTTTAGGGTTTAGGGCTTAGGGTTTAGGGTTTAGGGTTTAGGGTTGAGGGTTTAGAGTTTAGGGTTTAGGGTTTAGGAACCCCTAGTTGCTGCTCCAGATGGCAGAGAACGCGTGCATGTCCATGAAGTGTTCGTGCTGCGCTACAGCTTTGCTACGGGAGAGCTGGCAAGAAGCAGGGATGACCCAGCGTCCCCCCCCCCCCCCCCCAAAAAAACAAAACAACCAAACCCCAAACCCCAAACCCCCTAATGAACCGCCAGGTCCTCTCGCAACCCAGAAAGGAGCTCTAAACCTTACACCCCCGCAATGCCTCTATGGCCACTTCTCTAGACGATGGTCCCCTTAAACAGGAACTTTTCGGATGATCATGCGAGCCTGTAGAAAAGGGGTTTAGGCTTTAGGCTGTAGGGTTTAGGGCTATTTAGTTTAGAAGATGGTAGAACTGCCCCCCGCATGCAGCACACAAACACACGAACCCCCACACCCTAAACCCATAAACCCCCAAGCCCTGAACCCTAAACCCAAACCCTAACCCTAAACCCTAAACCCGGCATTTCTTCTGCAGACCGTGCTTCGCGCCTCCCCCCACCATGTCTGACCCTACCCTGACCCGAAACCCAAAGTAATATGGGGGCCTAAACAATTAGAATAGGGTTTAGGGTTTAGGGTTTAGGGTTTAGGGTTTAGGGTTTAGGGTTTAGGGTTTAGGGTTTAGGGTCTAGGGTTTGGGGTTTAGGGTTGAGGGTTCAGGGTTCAGAGTTTCGGGTTTAGTCTTTTTGGGTTTAGTGTTTAGGGTTTAGGGTTTAGTGTTTGGGATCTAGGGCTTAGGGCTGAGGGCTTAGGGCTTAGAGAAGAAAATGACCCCTAAATTGCCCTTATAAGGAAGAAAAGTGTTTTTTTTGGGTTCTTAAGCAAATAGTAGGAAACCCCTGAACCCTAAACTGGTTCTCAGAAGGGAAATGGAGAGTAAGGCACCCTCCAAAATCCCTAAACCCTAAACCCTTTACGGGGATTGAAAGGTCTGTACTGTCCCAGGTCCATTGTTAGAACTGGAATGTAGCGCACGCAGGTAGGGGAGGTGGAGCGACGAAGCTTTGTCCAAGCTAATGGTAGCGTTTTCTTTCTGTGTTTTTTTTTGGGGTGGGGGGGGGGGGTAAACCCTCAACCCTAAACCCCAAACCCCAAACCCCAAACCCCAAACCCCAAACCCTAAACCCTAAACCCTAAACCCCAACACCCCTAAGCTTCAAGAAAATGCCCACGCTGGACGTGATTTACAAGGGCTTGGTCACCAAGGCGATAACGGCCAAGATTGCTCCACCGTCTCGGGGCTCCTACTTGGAGGTTCGTGGTACTTGCTAACCAACTATAACTGTACTTAGAACTGTACTTATACCTGTACTTATAACTGTACTTATAACTGTACTTATATCTGTACTTATAACTGTACTTCTAACCACATTAGGGCACTTGAGGGGCTTATAAGTGGGTTATGAGTACAGTTATAGGTGGTTAATGAGTGCCATGAACCTGCAAGTAAGAGCCCATCATCTCCACAAGCTGTCTGCAGATTGTTTAAGGCTTTAGGGCTGTCTGGTTTAGGGCTTAGGGTTTAGGGGTTTAGGGGTTTAGGGGTTTAGGGGTTTAGGGGTTTAGGGGTTAGGGTTTAGGATTTCGGGGTTGAGGGGTTTAGGGGTTTTGGGGTTTGGGGTTTAGAGTTTGGGGGTTAGGGGTTTAGGGTTGAAGGGATTGGGGGTTTAGGGAGGACCCTTGCATTGAAGTCCGGCAAGTCCCCAATTCCAACGTGGCACCCGCGTGGTGGCCGAAGACCCCGGGGGGCCGATGAGCTGATATGATTACAACTAGGGTTTAGGGTTTAGGGTTTAGGGTTTAGGGTTTAGGGTTTAGGGTTTAGGGTTTAGGGTTTAGGGTTTAGGGTTTAGGGTTTAGGGTTTAGGGTTTGGGGTTTGGGGTTTGGGGTTTAGGGTTCAGGGTTCAGGGTTTTGGGTTTAGGGTGTATATAGGGTTTAGGGTTTAAGGTTAGGACTCAGGGTCAGCAACCTGAACTCTAAAAAGTCCTGAAAGACCCCAAACCTACAGCCTTGAGCCCCTCTGAAAACGGGCGAGTGCTCGGCCTTGAAGGTCTTGAAGTAAGCATTGCTGACCAACTGCGCAGGACTTCTCCTGCAGCATTGCGGGCTTAGGGCGAGGAATCACCACGTCCCCAAGGTCGGGCGTAGGGTTAAAGGTTTGGGGGTTTAGGGTTTAGGGTTTAGGGTTTAGGGTTTAGGGTTTAGGGTTGAGGGTTGAGGGTTGAGGGTTTCGGGTTTCGGGTTTAGGGTTTAGCGTTCAGGATTTAGGATTTAGGGTTTCGGGTTTAGGGTTTAGGGTTTAGGGGAATTTGGAGTGGAGTGGACTGGAGAGTTCAAGAAGGCAACGCTGAAGGTGCCAGCCGGCAGGAGAGCAGCCGAAGCAACACACACAACCGACCACCCTAAACCCGAAAACCCTAAATCCAAAACCCCAAACCCAAAAACCCTAAACCCTAACCCAAAAACCCTAAACCCTAAACCCTAAACCCATACCTGGCAACTTGTCCAAGCCTAGAGAATCAGCCTTCCCTGAGCTACTACTGTGTCCCGTTGGAACCTTCCAGACATGATGGAGTCCTCTTACTGCTCTCCACCAGTTTCTTTATCTCAAGTTCCTTGCACTTGCTATGAATGGCCGAGGACCACATGCCCCCTTCATACGCTCTTCGGTGTCGAGGACGAGAGGCTCTGTCCTTCATCTCATCCACCAACGAGGCCTTCACCGTGGTTGGCTCTCTTGCAAGTAGTGGAGGTAGAGATGCCACGCAATTTGTCTCCTGTCTTCTGGCTGTCCAGCAACGGAGAGGGACAGCCATTGCACTCGTGCAAGATCTCCAAATATGCATCTGCTTCGTGGTCTTCCAAGCAAATCACATACAATGCTGAAGCAGCAGCACGCGCCGGTGACCACCCTGCCACCCTGCCCTGCTTCAGCATGCATTTGGCCTGCATTGCAAGCGGCATACGATACCGCTCAATGCAAGGAGCCTCTCTGGGCGTAGTCTTTGATACCCCTCCAAACCAGCCACTCCGCTCCCGTTGTAGTCTGCAACTTGTTTCTCGGCCCTGCGTTTCCGTAGCCAGTGGGGTTTAGGGTTTAGGGTTTAGGATTTAGGGTTTGGGGTTTCGGGTTTAGGGCCCCTAAACCTTGAAAACCTCTGCGCGGGCTCCCGGATCCGCGTAAAGCAACATCACGACAGATGCCTTAAAGAAAAAGCAGTTGGAGGGGGGGGGGGGGGGGGGGGGGTGCACTTCCCAACATAGGTGCACCCTGAGCTGCCCCCAAAATACTGCAATTCTCCCCTATGCCGGAAGCCACCAGGCCTACTGTACTTTAGCCCTAAACCCTAAACCCTAAACCCTTAAAAGTTCCTTAACAGCAAGTCAGAATATGGGGAACTGAGACGTTCCCAGCTGAGATCCTCTGAAACCCAGAAGTGCAAAGTTGCCCAACCCTAAGATCAGGGTTTAGGGTTCATTGTTTTGCAAGGGTGTAGGGGTTTGGGGTTTAGGGTTTAGGGTTTGGGCTTTGGGGTTTAGGGTTTAGGGTCTAGGATTTCGAATGAGATAACCCCCAAAGGACCTAAGAACTCCCTAAAGCGCACCTGGCCGCCATAAGCGCCCATCAAACGAAGCTTCCCCGCCGCCACGTTGAACTGCTGGACATCCTGCGGGGTTTCGGACAATGAGGGTTTCCCAAGGGCTTTGGGTTTTGGGTTTAGGGTGCTAAATTTCAAAAGTCACGGGGATTAAGGGTTGAGAAAAAATGTGGCGGGAAAATAACTTTGGACGTAGGGTGCTAAAATGAAAAGCTCTGAATCATGGCCTCATACGATGTCCAGCAACATGGCGGATTTTGCTCCCGATAGCCAAGATCGGGACTGCTGCCACTGGCAGGGGGTCTATGAGCTGCGATCGCTGTGCGATGGACAGACACAGGCATAGCTGACGATCTGTACACACCAATTCCTTCTCCGGCTTCAATTTGGAGGAGCCTGTAAAGCTGTTTGCCGGTCAGCTGTGATCGCTCTGCGATGGACAGAAACACACGCCAGCCTAGCTGACGATCTGTACACACCAATTCAATTCCTTCTCCGGCTTTCTGGATGAGTATGCAAAGATGGTAGCCGGTACACCGTGACACTGCCTGCCACTGTCATTTTTTGCCAGTGGTAGGCTTTTGGAAGTGCTCCTTCAGCGATTTGGACCCAGCTGAGTCCTGGCGGTTGGGGACCAGCATCAGGAGACGACGGGCATCAACAACATCAGGATACTGAGGCTCACATGACAGCTAGTTCAACACAGCGGCAGCCTTCAAGGCACATATGAGTTGCACCGCTTTCTGGAAGTTCGAGACCTGCTTCAAGGTTTAGTTGGAAATCATACGACACCGCCTGACGCTTACTCATGAATGCATTCTCCCAACGTTCCTGGCCTGCTCCTGGTTGCCAAAACGCAGCAATGGCTCGGCACATCGCAGGAGAAGTTCGTGCACTTCACGCAATCTTGCCCCAAGCGAGGAAGCCATAGACCTGTTTCAAGGCTTAGTTGGAACTCACACAACACCGCCTGACGCTCACTAATAAAGGCATTCTGCCAGCGTTCCTGGCCTGCTCCTGTTTGCCAAAGCGCAGCATTGGCTTGGCACATCGCAGGAGAAGTTCGTGCAGATCACGCCATATTGCACCAAGCGAGAAAGCCACAGCTATGAGTCACCAATGTGTCGCAACTGCTGCGCAGATCACTTTTTGTGACTCTCCTATAATCATATGAACATCATAACGACTGGCGTGGCTTTGATTTTGGGGGCGGTGCAGGTCGACATGTCTTGTTGACAATCAAATTCGTTCTTGTTCTTGAGAAGTCGGTGAGGAGGGTGGGGGGGGTGGCGGGGGGACTGTGCCAGACACTGCGGCACGCCACAAGACATTATAGAGGCAGCCCTCGTTTGGCGTCCACGACATTCACAATTTCCAGCCTGCTCACTATGGGTCGCTTGTTTTTATATAAGATAATGAAAGCCCACAGTCGATGCCAACATCTTTCTATTGTTGTCGGGAAGCCCCCCAGCTTAGTTCCCGTGGAGAAACTTGTCTCCCTTGACTTTTGAAATTTAGCAGTTTAGGGTTTGGGTTTTAGGGGTTTCGTTGAGCTTTGGGGCAGGGCGTAGGGTTCCGAAAAGATTAAAATACTGTGGGCGAACCCAAATGTTGTGAGAACTGCCCCAGCAGACGCCCCCCACAGAGCCCTTTAAAGGGGATTGACCCGAGTTGCCACTTTACCAACTGGTCCTTCAGTAGGGAATGAGGGAATTTGGTACTGTATAGAGAACACCTGAAAAGCTACATAACCCTTGCCCTGAATCCTACACCCTAATATGGGGGGGGAGATGAGGTGCCGAATTGCCCTCATTCCCTGCTATTTAAGCTGTTCTTCTAACAGTCTAGGGTTTTGGGCTGTGGGCTTTGCCCGAATAAGACGAGGTATTGCTTGAAACTCTAACCTTTAGAGTCGAAATAACCCTTAAAATAACCCTAAACCCCAAAGTCCCTACCTGAACCCAAAACCGACAACAACTAAGCCGTCAAAGCCGAAAATGCTTGAAAGCCAGATCACTCAACACCATAAACAGAAAAACAAAGCAAAGGCCTGACCCTTAACCATGTAAACAAACGCTCTACCCTCAAAGCCCCCTAAAACCGAACCCCTAAACCCCAAACCCTGAACCCTGAGCCCTAAACCCTAAACCAACCCCCGCGGAAAGCCCCTAAACCCCAAACCTGAGAGCCTGCAAACCCTTCTATTAAAGAGCCAAGGTTCGTAAACTCGAAAAGCTGTCAATCCCAAAAACGTCAACCCTAAAACCCCTTAAGCTGCAAAATTCCTGGACCCTGAAAACCCCTAACCTTTCAAGTCGATGGATTTGCTGGGGTGGTAGGGGGACAAAGCTGCCAGCGCTTGTGAACTTGGTAGCCCAGTACACATATTCGAATAAAGGGACCCAGAACCCTAAACCCTAAACCTAAGCCCTAAACCCTAAACCCTTTTTTGGGTCAGGTACTTTCCGAGAGAACCTTGAACCAAAAACCGAGGCAAAAAAAAAAAGTGCACCACTGGGCGAATATAGGGGCCGTAATAATTAATTAAAGTAGGGTTTTTGGGGGGTTCACTATAGTATATATGCAAAGGGGCCATAAGGGAGTACCATTAGTAAGTATTCCGACCCCTGAACCGTAAACCGTTTAGGGTTTAGGATTTAGGGTTTAGGGCATAGGGCTTAGGGCTTAGGACTTAGCTTTAGGGTGCTTGGATCCGCTATGCTTGAGTCGCGAGTGCTTTCAATCGAGGCCATTGCCTTGCGCGCACCGCTGTGTCAAGGCTCGCGGTTTAGGGTTCAGGGTTCAGGGTTTAGGGTTTAGCGGTTTAGCGTTTAGGGTTTAGAGTTTAGGGTCCTGGCAGTCTCCCACGTTCTCCACCGCACACCAGCAGAGGGAGTAGCCCACGTCCTCCTTGGTTCGGGTCTAGGGCTTTGGGTTTAGGGCTTCGAGTTTAGGGTTTCGGGTTTAGGGTTTGCACTTGGGGGAATTTGAGGGAGCGTCTTCAGGCTTACCAAATCTTGCAGGGAATACGTAGTCGCTTCAAGGAACACTATATGCTTGCACCTCCCAAAAACGCAACGTGCATAAAAAGTACACAGAGAGGCCCTAAACCCTAAACCCTAAACCCGAAACCCGAAACCCTAAACCCTAAACCCTAAACAGGTGAACAGTAGGAAAGGCAGGTGAGCAGTAGCCCCCACGATGTGCCCGAACTTAGGGAACCCTAACCCCTGCCCCCACTCAAAAGAGAAGAATGGCTAAGTAGCCCAGGAACCACAGTGCAAAAAGGGTGCCCTTTTTGGGGGTTGGCCACTTTACAAGGGACCTTGAGCCAACAGAAATGGGTCAAAAGAGTACCACTGGGCTACCACCTTACGAAGACGTGGCTGCCGAACAACATCTAATTTACACGTGAACGCCCTAAAGCCCTAAACCTAAAACCCTCTGTGGCTTGGGTCCGTCACGTGCTCAAAACAAGCATTTGAATTTCTGCTCGGGCGGCCGGATCGAAGAGGATCGTCGAGAAGTCCAGGGCCAGGCCTTAGCCCTAAACCCTAAACCGTTCCAGTTTAGGGCCACGAGTTTAAGGTGTAAGGTTTAGGGTTAAGGGACGGACTTGGGGTTGGGGTTGGGGGCTTTGTGCATGAGGGTTTCGGGTTTACCCGCATGACACCACGTTGGAAGGGTCTATGGGGGTGTAGGAGTCGGCGTGCCGTCCTCTGAGCACCAGGTGGAGGTTTGGGGTTTGGGTTTGGGGTTTCGGGTTTGGGGTTTAGGGTTTAGGGTTTGGGGTTTAGGGTTTAGGGTTTGGGGTTTAGGGTGGGGGGTTTGTGGGATTTAGGTGGCATTGGTCCTTTGGGGGCTCTGTCTCCATCTCACTCTCACTCTCACTCACTCACTCTCTCTCTCTCTCTCTCTCTCTCTCTCTCTCTCTCTCTCTCCCTGTCTCTTAGATTAGTTTCCTTGTCATTTACAGAGTTTAGATCAACCCCCCCCCCCCCCCCACCCCACACTCGAGCCCCGAAACCCAGAACACAAACCCAAACCATCGACGCGTAACAACGTAGTAACACCTGAGGCACTAGACCCTATGCCCTTCAACCCTAAACCCCTAACTCTAACTCCCTGACCCCCCCAAAACCCCACAACTTACACCGCCAAACCTCAACCCCTAGACCCCCAGAAAAAGAAAAGCAAAACTTTTTCCAAGTCTTGACCACCTAGCAGCAGCCCTTTCCCATTCAACCCCAAACTTCTCAAACTCGTCCCAGGCGCGAGAAAGGTTGCCGAAGCCCTTCCAGCTCGGCTCGCGCATGGTGACCCTGGGCTTCTCTGTGTGTAGGGCCTAAACCCTAAACCCCAAACCCTAAACCCCAAAACCCTAAACCCCAAACCCTAAACCCTAAACCCTAAACGTGGGCACCAACTAAAACCCTAAACGCTATAAGCTCTGAGGCTTGAGAAAGCGTAGGATTTAAGGTGTTTCGGGGGGCCCGCATGCTCCCTATAGCTCCGTAAGCTTCCAGCGCTCTCTAGGGCCCCCCTGCTTCTGGAAACCCCGGTGGGGTTTGGGGGCTTAGGGCAGTTTAGGGTTTAGAGTTTGGGGTTTGGGGGTTTAGGGTTTAGGGCTTAGGGCTTAGGGTTTGGGGTTTGGGGCTTGGAGTTTAGGGCGTATAGGGTTCAGGGCAGACAATAGAACCCTCAACCCTTACAAGGACCCTGGAATGGAAATGCTGGGCGTCCACAGCCGATGACTTTGGCGGGCCTCCGCTTCAGGCTAAGAGTTTTAGAGGGTTTTGGGCTAAAAGCTTTCGCAACACACAAACCCTCAACCCTAAACACTAAGTCCCAAACCCTAAACCCAAATCCCTGAACCCTGAACCTTGAACCCTAAACCCGAAACCCCAAACCCTAACCCTCAAACCCTAAACCCCTAACCCGAAACCCTACACCCTAGCTCTGAATTCCTGAACAAACACCTAAACTGTCCCTAAATCCCCGAAACCCTAAACCCTAAACCCTAAACCCTAAACCCTAAACCCTAAACCCTAAACCCTAAACCCTAAACCCTAAACCCTAAACCCTAAACCCTAAACCCTGAACCCTAGCCCTAAACCCTAAACCCCCAAAGGAAACAAAGCGCAAACCTTGGCCCCCGGGGAGGCCTCGCCGCCGTGGCAAAGTGCTGCGTGGAATCCGGGGAGCCGCAGCCTGCCAGGGACCCAACCTGAAACCCCAAAACCGGTTGAGGGGTTTAGGGTTTAGGGGTTTAGGGTTTAGGGTTTTGGGCTTAGGGGTTAGGGTTTAGGGTTTAGGGTTTAGGGTAACTCTAAACGCTCATCCCTAAACCCCGAGCCCCAAACCCCAAACCGCTCTCTGCTGCCTCCCCGGTGAACCGCCACCCGGTCCGACTCCTGGAGCTCGTAGCCTTTTGTGGCGCGAGAGGGGTTTAGGGTTTAGGGTTTAGGGTTTAGGGTTGAGGGTTTAGGGTTTAGGGTTTAGGGTTTAGGGTTTGGGGTTCGGGTTTAGGGATTAGGGTTTAGGGCTTAGGGTTTAGGGTTTAGGGTTTGGGGTTTGGGATTTGGGGTTTGGGGTTTGGGGTGTAGGGCCTAGGGATTAGGGGGTTTTTCAGCTTTGTGAGTAACCAGAACACCACGCACCACCTGACGCTGAATGCCACAGACCAGTTGCTGGGCGGTTCGAACAAAACCATCGCAAGAAGAAGAAAAATGCCAACGACCCAAGAAGTCGCCCTAAACCCTAAACCCTAAACCCTAAACCCTAAACCCTAAACCCTAAACCCTAAACCCTAAGCCCTGTTCCTGAGCTATGCCAAGAATGATAGCGACGCTGGACATCCAACATCCTTCACTGTGTTCAGTCTATGCTCTGCAGGCAGAAGGCGCACATAGAAACTGAGGGCTTAGGGTTTAGGGTTTAGGGTTTGGGGTTTAGGGCTTAGGGAACTTGTGGGCTTGGAGCTTAGGAACTTTTTGGATTCAGGGCTAGGGATTGGGGAGCATATCTGCTGAGCGCTAAAGGCAAAGCATCCCGTGCTCACCATCTATACGCAACACCTTGGCAAAGAGGGTTTCGGGCTTACGATTTAGGGTATGGGGTTTAGGGTATGGGGCTTTTTGAAATGCTAGAGTCTTGGGGATTAGGGTTCAGCTTAGGTCCTGGAAAGCAACCTACAAGTGGTTTTTTTGGAGTCAACCCTACCCAACCCCCAAAAAGTCTTTAAACCCTAATCCCTACCCTTTCGAACCCCAGCACAGCCTGTACTTGGAGGTTCGCGGTACTTATGACCCCAATTGTAACTGACTTATAAGCCACCCCAAGCCGACCTATACTAGGGGGATATAAGTACCCATGAGCCTCCAAGTGGGAGACAAAAACAAGGGACCCCTTATGCCTAATATACACGCCCAAAACAATAGCCCAAGAAGGTCTCCCCCCCCTCCCCCTCCCCGATTATTCCAAACCCCAAATAGTTACACCTCTGGATTGAGATGTTCCCCATTATACTAACAGTCCTTAGTAGGAATTCTAATCGGGGTACTAGATCCCCTGGGAAGGACTGTAAGGGGGAACATCCCAACCTGTGGACGTTTCCCTAAACCCTCAACCCTAAACCCTAAACCCTAAGCCCTAAACCCGAAACCCTAAACCCTAAACCCTAAACCCTAAGCCCCAAACCCTAAACCCTAAACCCTAAACCCTAAACCCTACATGCAGCGGCGCGGCCCTCGAGCTCGATCTGGTTGCACAGGCTGCCCCGGGTGCCTTTGCGACCGGGGTCCAGGGCTTACGGGCCTCCTGGCCCTGAACCCGGAAGCGTTTTAAGAGGGTTTAGGGTTTAGGGTTTAGGGTTTAGGGTTTAGGGTTTAGGGTTTAGGGTTTAGGGTTTAGGGTTTAGGGTTTAGGGTTTAGGGTTTAGGGTTTAGGGTTTAGGGTTTAGGGTTTAGGGTTTAGGGTTTAGGGTTTAGGGTTTAGGGTTTAGGGTTTAGGGTTTAGGGTTTAGGGTTTAGGGTTTAGGGTTTAGGGTTTAGGGTTTAGGGTTTAGGGTTTAGGGTTTAGGGGGCTCGGGGTTTACTAGGTTCAAGGTTTAGGGTTCTCAGGGTTCAGAATTTGCCTGACCTGCCCTCCCGCAACCGGTTCGCATCCCTTTTGGGTTGCAAGCATGCACCGCTATCGCGGCCAAGCGCACCTCTGCTGCCACAGCAGGGCACGCTTGGAAGCTCTTTTGACTGAATAAGTCTACTTAGCATCCCCTGGGTTGTTTCTCCATAACCCAACTTGCTAACCGTTACTTACTCCGTCAAAAAGGGCTTCCAAGCAATGGCTCCCCCTCACCTCCCTGCACCCTGAGGGTCTGCTATCTGCTGAAGAACCCCCAGAAGGAAGCGAAAGACGAAAATCCCCACGTTACCCTCACAAGGACGAATATTGTTTGGAAGGGGGTTCTTACCCTAAGCCCTAAACCCCGAAGCCTAAACCCTAAACCCTAAACCCTGCACCCTGAACCCCAAACCCTAAACCCTAAACCCTAAAAGGGGGCTTTTGTAAGGCCACGTTGCACTCGTAGGTCACCTGGCTTGCCGCACTCGTCGGGCCGCGAACGAGGAGCGCCCCTGCGGGGAGCCTTGCAAGCCGTCGAGGCGCCGCGTACAGGGGTTTAGGGTTTAGGGTTTAGGGTTTAGGGTTTAGGGTTTCGGGTTTCGGGTTTAGGGTTTAGGGTTTAGGGTTTAGGGTTTAGGGTTTAGGGTTTGGGGTTTAGGGTTTAGGGTTTAGGGTTTAGGGTTTAGGGTTTAGGGTTTAGGGTTTAGGGTTTAGGGTTTAGGCCTTGGGGCTTCGGGGTGTAGGGTTTCGGGCTGATGGGCTTTAGGGCCTTAGGAGTTTGAGGGCCTGAGGGTTTTGGGAGGCTTGCAGAAGTCAGAAATGATCCAAGGATTTAGGGAATGAAAGCGACACAAGCACGAATTCAAGACATCCTGGAGGTGTGGCAGCCTTGGGACACGATTCTGAATTCCAAATAACACTTCGGGTTTAGGGTTTGGGTTTTAGGGTTTCGGGCGGGATTTGCTTCGCATGCAAAGGTTTCTCCACAGCCGTGTGAGCAGTCTGTCACACTGCGAACGCTTCATTTGCCCTTACGTGAGCCCGGTATGGCCCGGGAATCAGCCTAGGCCTACCAGGATTTGGGGCCTAAACCCTAAACCCTAAACCCTACATCCTGAACCCTAAACCCTAAACCCTAAACCCTAAACCCTAAACCCTAAACCCTGAACCCTAAACCCTAAACCCTAAACCTTGGCCACCAGGATCTTTGGGAGCGCCTTGTGGACGTTACTGACCCCTGTCCGGTCTTGGAACCATGCCTGTTTTTAGGCCTTGGGATGTAGGGTTTAAACTCTAGGGTTTAGGGTTTAGGGTTTAGGGTTTAGGGTTTAGGGTTTAGGGTTTAGGGTTTAGGGTTTAGGGTTTAGGGTTTAGGGTTTAGGGTTTAGGGTTTAGGGTTTAGGGTTTAGGGTTTAGGGTTTAGGGCGCAGCCCTCATCTCTTCTCCCAGCTTAAAGTTCGAGTCCTCTGCCCTAAACCCGAAACCTCAAACCCTAAACCCAGCCAACTCTTCGTCCGGAGGGCAGGAAGAGGTCCAAGTGCTGGCAATTCCTCGAAAAGCGCTGTTCCCCAAGAAGGGATCAAAAGGCCTACTATAGGGGCCTTGAGAATTAGAAGAGGGTTTTGGGGTGTTTGTAGTACAGTATATAGCTTGGATGCCTGCACCCGATTCTGGCTGCACTTATAACCCAAAGATAAACCAACATTCAAGTCCTTAACGAGCGGCGAAGGGGAACGCAGCTGTCTTTGGGTGGATAAGTACCCTGAAAGTCTACACCCCTACACCCCTACACCCCTAAACCCTAAACCCTAAACCCTAAACCCTTAAACCTTAAACCTTAAACCCTCTTAAACCCCTAAACCCCTAAACCCTATCGGGAGCCCAAGGCCTAAGGCGCCAAGTTTCAGGGCCTTCCCGGAAGGGGTTTAGGGTTTAGGGTTTAGGGGCTTGGGCGTTTAGGGTTTAGGGTTTAGTGTTTAGGGTTTAGGGTTTAGGGTTTAGGGTTTAGGGTTTAGGGTTTAGGGTTTAGGGCAGGTCCAGCTTTCAAGCCCGCTTTCCGGGCGCCCACCTATAGTCCGATGACTCCCGGCTAAGAACCAGGACTTTCCTGGTCTAGGCCCAAGAGTAACCTAGGAATAAACTAGGGCGCCCTTTCTGGTAA